GTGTAGTTCTGTTGGTATATGTGGTGACCTCGGCAGTGGTCTTTGTCCTTGGTGCCTGCCAGAATGGATTTACTGGCTAATGTGAGACTCTGCAGCCCTGTCAAAGGAGGATATAATTCTAGCAGTATCACCATCCAGTCTTCAAATGTGGGCATTGCTGTTGGTTGTAGTGGGGAGACAGATTAGAAAACTGAAGGTCTGGTTTCTAGAAATTCTGAATATTGCATTCCACATTCAGGTTCATATTAAAAATACTGCAAATATTTTAGCAGGGTGTAGAAAAATTGTGATGTTGATCATCTTTCATGAATACATGATTTGAACGCTTGTAACTTGGTGGTGCAAATAACCACAATGATGTGATTCAGGGAAGTTTAGTTCCAGGGGAGAAAAGGAGTTTCTGATGTGTAAAGATTTCTCAAGTGTATATGGTGTTGGCAGATAGATTTGGCAGAAACAATGTTATGTGCCATAATCCATAGAATCAGATTTAAAATAATTTTTCTTTTTTTTCTTTTCTTTTTCTTTTTGTTCAGGGAGCAGTTTTCTTTCTTTAATTTAAATTAGAAACAAGCTTGTTTTACATGTCAATCACAGTTTCCTCTCCCAATTCTCCTCCCTGCCTCCCACTGACCCCCTATTCCATCCCACTTTGCTCCCCAGGGAAGGTGAGGCCTTCCATGAGTGAGCTTCAACTTCGGTCATATCATTTGGAGCGGGTCTTAGGTCCACCCATGTGTCTCTCAAATGAGAGAGTATTGCTTTACAATGAATGGGCTCCCAAAGTCCACTCCTATACTAGGTATTAATACTAATCTACTACCAGAGACCCTATAGATTCCCCAGGCTTTCTAACTGACACCCATGTTCAGGGGGCCTGGAACAGTCCTATGCTGGTTTCCCAGCTGTCATTCTGTGGTTCCAGAGCTCCCCCTTGTTCAGGTCTGCTGTTTCTGTGAGTTTCTCCAGGCTGGTCTTGACCCATTTACTCATCATTCCTCCCTATCTGAAACCAGATTTCAGGAAGTTGGCTCAGTGTTTAGCTGTAGGTGTCTGCTTATGCTTCCATCAGCTACTGGAGTAAGGCTCTAGGAAGGCATATATAATTGGCCTTCCTGTTATGGTATCTCTCATCCTGCTATCCTCTATTCTTTTCCTGATGCAAGCCTGATGCTCCCATGCTCCCCCATTTCTTACTGTCCCCTCCTCTACTCCTCCTCTCATTAGTCCCTCTCCCTCTCCCCTGCCCTCATGCTACCAATTGGCTCAGAAGACACTGTCCCCTTCCCTTTCTCTGGGGTCTATGCATTTTTCTCTTAGAGTACTCCTTGTTTCCTAGCTTCTCTGGTGTTTAGGATTGTAGACTGGTAATCCTTTGCTCCTTGTCTAAAATTCATATGTGAGTAAATACATAACATGTTTTTCGTTTTGTGACTGGGTTTCCTCCCTCAGGATGGTTGCTAATATCCTGCCTACACTAAAACCTTGTGCACAAAGAACCCATTCTACCCCTCCCCATATCCTGCTCTAATGACTATATAAGCTAGCCTGAGAAAAATAAAGTTTGCAACTTGATCAGAATCCTGTCCTGTGGTAGTTGTTTTTGTTTCTCTTGTCGCCATTCCCTATCTCTGACTCCCTTGTCCTGCAGGTCAGGACAGGGATTCTGTTTTTGGAAGAAATATCAGTTGGTCAAGGGTCAGAAACAGCATATCAAGTGTCACTTCGAAATAATTTTGAGAAAGTTGTGAAGTCTGTGTTTATATAATTTCTATACACATAAAATTATAGGGAGCTGATTACACTGGACAAGATCACGCTTTTCCTTTCCTAAGTTTTCTCTGTTCTTTTGATTAAAAGTTGACTTATTTTCCCTGCTTTATTTCTTGACTTTTCCTTACCAAACCCTTCATTCTTTCATATTGTATTTTATACATTTTTATTGTTGTATCTTTGGGACAAGACTAGTCCTCATATTATGTGAATCTGTGCACTTTTTTCTGTAATCAAAAACTGTAATGTAATTATATTCATTTTTGTTGATAATTATGGACATTTCCCAAATTTTATACATAAAATTTATTATGTTATCAGTTCCTTAAGGTTTGTATTGTAAGAAAGTTTCTGTGGAGACTCAGTTTTAGGTTTTTTTTTTCTTCCTTATGTAAAATGATTGCCTCTTCCCATTTCTTGGCATATCCATGTTTACCAGTTGTTGCTATCTTCATGTTTGAGTCTTAGTACTGAGGATATTGACATGATTATTGCATTGGCTTTGGATTTTTGTTTTTGTTCTGTTTTGCTTTTTTGAGACATGATTTCTCTATAAATTTGGAGCCTATCTGGAACTCACTCTGAGACCAGGCTGACCTCATACTCATAGAGATCTACCTGGCTCTGTCTCCCAATTGCTGGGATTAAAGAAATGTGCCTCCAACTCCTGGAACCTTTGGATTTTTAAAACTTCATATGACCTTTGGATTTTTAAAACCTCATATATTACTGTCTCTATCTCCTAATTAACCTCAGGTATCAATATGACAAATCCTAGGATCATCTGAGTAAACATCTATTGAGTGAGTTCTTTGATCATAATGTCTGATTTCTGCCTGAAAAAGATTGTATTGACTGCTGACTGACATGAGAAGAATTCAACTGTGTTGGCAATGTTTCTGAACAAGTGTGCCCGTAGACTGGCTAAGAGAGCTAGCTGAGCACAAGTTCATAACAAAGCTAAAGAGAAAATAAGAAACAATGGTTCTACATGTTTTACCTTCAGTGACTAACTTGAGTTTCTATCCTAAGCTCCCCCCAAAATTAGACATTGCCTAAGGGTAACAACATAATCAGTTCATTACCACAGGAGCTGTTACTTAGGTAATTTAATCACTGCAAAACTGAAGAATGTTGGAACAAAAAATGCTAATTTAAATGTTATTTCTTTGCTGTAATGGATATAGGAATGTTGACTTTTCAAAGACTGTTGAAGATATTGAGGCTTTAATGGCAAAAGACATGAAAGCTCTCCATAATGCTGTAGGACATGAAAGATGGGAATTTTGAGAATAATGGTTGATCCTTCTGTCAGAGTAAGGATTTCAGTGGGTAAAAGTCCCTGCAGGGCACCATGCAGTTGGACTGATCTACCTTCCATGAGAGACATTTGTCATAGGATATTCAGGATAAAGTCCATGGCTCCTAGGACACAATGTACATTCAGGTTCCTGATGGACAGATGCTCCCCATCACGTAGGGAAGCATTCAGGATAATCTGTATTCTCTATGCTTTCTTAGTAATCAAGGAAGTATGTAAGCTTAACAAGGCAACTGTTCTTAGATATTAATCTTATATACCCTGTATGGCTTACAATTTTCATAGTATCCTGGCAACTACAGTCTTATTGATCCTGGAAATGGCCTCTATTTTATGTTTCTGATAATGATATAAAATATCTGTTTCCTCAATAAAACAGTCATATCCTTGTCTTGCTGTGGCCCTCTAGGCCGATCCTGGCTTCATTCCTTTTTTAAATGTATTGGGTGATTTTGGCCTGGTAAGTAAGAACAGGTTCTTAGAAGATTTCATGAAAAACTCAGCTAAATTTCATTTGTCTGCCATAAGCACTTCTGAGGTGGTCTGGGGTCTGCTGGTACCTTCACCATCTTCTGGGAGGTGGGGCAGGCAGACAGTAGCGGAGGCCATGTTTGTGGTGAACAACATCGCAGAGGACCACGAAGTTCTCATGCATGACATGTCTTTCGACTTCCTTGGGTGCAGGATGGCCACCTGCTCCAGCGACCAGAGCATCAAAGTCTGGAATAAAAGTGAAAGCAGAGATTGGCATTGTACTGCTAGTTGGAAGACACATAGTGGATCTGTATGGCATGTGACATGGGCTCATGCCGGATTTGGACAAGTTTTGGCTTGTTGACTGAACAGCAGCTGTTTGGGAAGAATCAAATGAGTGTAGTAGGAGAATCAAATACATCGCAGAGGACCACGAAGTCCTCATGCATGACATGTCTTTTGACTTCCTTGGGTGCAGGATGGCCACCTGCTCCAGCGACCAGAGCATCAACGTCTGGAATAAAAGTGAAAGCAGAGATTGGCATTGTACTGCTATTATGAATCTCAGCCAGTGGTCTCTACAGCACGAGATCTCATGTAAGCTGAGCTGTAGCTGTATTTCTTGGAACCCTTCCATCTCTCCTGCTCATTACCCCATGATCGCAGTGGGAAGTAATGACAGCAGTCGAAAAGCAATGACCAAGTTTCAGATCTTTGAGTACAATGAAAACACCAAGAAATGTGCAAAAGCAGAAATTCTTATGACAGTAACAGATCCTGTTCATGATATTGCCTTTGCTCCAAATTCGGGGAGATCTTTCCACATCCTGGCAATAGCCACCAAAGATGTAAGAATTTTCACATTACACCTGTGAGGAAAGAACTTACTTCTTCTGGTGGTCTCAGAAAATTTGAAATCCATATCTTGGCTCAGTTTGATGATCACAACTCTCAGGTCTGGAGGGTGAGTTGGAACATAACAGGAACAGTGCTAGCATCCGCAGGAGATGACGGCTGCGTGAGGTTGTGGAAAGCTAATTACATGGACAATTGGAAGTGTACTGGTATTTTGAATGGTAAAGGAAGCCCATTAAATGGGAGTTCTCAGCTAGGAAACTCATATCCTTCACTAAGCTCAAATACTCCAAATCTTCAAAACTCATTACATGGATCTTCTGCTGGCAGAAAGCATAGCTGAATCAAGCTAGTTGGAGTAACTTTGCTGTTTTGCTGTTTGTTTCATGTGCACATGGAACTCGAACTCTTTTCTGCTTCCCCAGTGATATTTGATCTCTCCCAAGATGAACCAGCAGCCTGGTCACTACTAAACACAGTCAAAAAGGCCTTTAAAATTACAGTGTATATAAATTTTTGTACTAGTCAGTTTAATGACACAATAAATTCAAATGCTTTTTGTTGAGACATCATTACCAAAACAATTTTTTGAAATGTTCTAGAGTCTAACGTGGGTTTAAAAACTGAAGAGATTTCTACTATACTCATAAATAAACTGTTGCGAGGAGGGGAAATATAGTTTTATTCTAATTTGGAGAAAAATAGAGAAAGGGCCCTGTTCTTTATTTAAAGCCTAGGAAGGTAGCCCAAGTTTATGACTCTATCCAGCAATGCCTTTACCTTATTGAAGGAGTAGGGAAAGTAATTCCTTGTCTCAGGAACAACATTATTCAAAAACTGTCAAGTTTGATTCAAGCTTGGTAGGGTCCACCAAATCATGGCAGATTCCCCTAATTTTTAACTGAGTATGCAAACAATAAACGTGCAAAATACAAAGATGTTGGATTCTTCTTCTGTTGTCAGTTCTTCAATATAGTACACATCTATGTTTTGGACAGTCAGAGCCCAAGTGAAGATTCTTTGAGAGTTCATTGCATGAAGCAGTGAAGATGAAGCTGAGTTGCATTTGAGACCACAAGATGTTGACATATCCATGCTTTGAGACATCTGTCATGGAGACTTTCATATGAGGAATGGAAATACCAAACATGTGAGATAGATAAGAAGTCCCAGAGGTTGTGTGGAATTTTTATCATATTTTTATAATAAAGCTTGTGTGGCATCAGAGCTACCAATTAACTGACCAAAAAATACCATAGAGGATTAAAACACTGTGGAGAGATTGGAGACAGGAATTACTAAGGAGGGGCTGAGAGAGGATCTTTCTGTGTTTTAGATTGAGAAATGGAATAGGTAGGAGTCACTGATGGCTGATCAACTGGTTCTCTGATCTTTTATGTTCTTACACCCATATTTAACTTCTGATTTTTTCTTAATAAATATTACTAAGTCCAGTGCTGTTGGTGAAAACCTTTAATAATAGCACCTAGGGAGCAGTGGTAGGCAGATCTTTGTGAGTTTGGGACCAGTATGGTCTACAAGAGCTGTTTGCAAGAGAGCCTCCCAAGCCACAGGAAACCCTGCCTCATAAACCAAAACAAAAAATAGATTACTCATATTAACAATTTATGATGTTCCTTAGAAGATATGCTCAATAAACTAAAAGGGTAATTAAGACTTCCAGGGATAGATTAAATCATAGATTTATATTTTTATATCATATATTTATATTTTTCAATTGCTACTGAACAAGAAACAACAGCATTAGGAGATATTAGATAAAAAAGAAACTGCTAAAATAAACCAATCTATATACTTTAGAAATATCTTGATCTCAGAATAAAAACCAAAATATTTGTTACACCAGGGAAGAGTTGTTGCTTTTGTTTCCATGGAGGGAGGTGGACGGGATCCAAGTGACCATTGAAAATGATAAAGATTATATTCAAACAAAAGAAGATTTCTTAAAACACAAAGTTGTTCATCAAACAACATTGACATTTAATCTAAAAGAATTCATGAGACTAACAGATGTCTTTCACTGGATTAAATATAATTTGCCAAAACTAGAAATCTGCAATTTCAAAAACATAATATTCTCCAG